CCCACCTCCTTGGTTTGTAGGGGAATTTGTTGCTGAACTGCAAAGTCTAAATCTATGAAGCAACTACACGCCCCAGAATCCACAATTGCCGTGGTCACCACTGTTCTCCCCGGCAGCTGAAGTGACACAGGTACCGCTAGATAACTAGTGTTGCCCACACTGTTAGAAGTGACCGTAGAGAAAACAGCGGAACACTTACCCCTCTTGGCTGGACAGGTACGTACCACATGGCCTGCTCCCCCACAGTAGAGGCAGAGATGGTTGGTAAGACGCCTCTGGCGTTCCTCAGGTGTAAGTGTCGGCCGTATCCTTCCCGATGGCCCGGTCTCGGGTGTATCCATAGCATCCTGATTCTGGCTTGCTGGCTGCAACTGGGTTGAAGCCTGAGGGGGTGTTCCAGTTGGTCCTTGTCCTTGGTTGCACCTTTCCTGCCTGCGCTCCCGCAACCGGCGGTCAATTCGAATAGTCAAAGCTATTAAGGCCTCCAAAGTGCTAGGTATGTCTATTCGGGCCAATTCGTCCTTCAGGGATTCAGCTAACCCTACGCGGAACTGGTGGTACAGAGCCGCCTCGTTCCATTGGCTGTCACTACGCCAACGCCTGAATTCGGCGGCATAGTCCTCCACTGTCCGGTGACCCTGCCTGAGTGTATATAGGGCCCTCTCGGCCGTTGCGGTGCGCAGCGGGTCGTCATACAAGAGGGCCATAGCCTCAAAAAATACTGTCACTGACTTCAATAGTGGGTCTCGATTCTCTCGGAGCTGGTGGGCCCAGTCTTGGGGTCCCCCTCTAGTAGGGAAATAATGAACCCTACCCTCACCGATTCGGAGAAAAAGGTCCGAGGCTGGAGGTCAAAGTATAGCTGACAGGAGTTACGAAAGGCCCTGAATCTACTTCGGTCTCCAGAAAAACGTTCCGGTGTGGGGACACGGGGTTCTGGTGCGGCTAACAACCCCCGTGTCTCCCTAGTGGGTTCCCCAGACCCCCTGGTAGAGGTAGCTAAGGTCTGCATGCGACTGTCCAATTCCGTATAACCCTCCTGTAGGCCCCTAAGTCCCAGTGTAAGGGTCTCCATCTGTTGGCAGATGTCGTCCAGAGGGGAAGTTCCCCTTCCAGGCTCAGTCATGGCCGCAAGGTACTGTCAGGCTCCGCCCAACGGGATCTCTAGTGGTCCACGGCACGGGGTTTCCCAGGGCACGGAGTCTAAGTCCCAGTCTGCCTTTTCACCAGGGCCCCTGATGGTGGGGATGGACTTGGTACAAGACTGAAACCAGGTCGCGTTCCTGGGCACCCCCGGTGGTGGCAGAGGGGTCCCGCTGAGGGTATGTGCCCGGGTTGAGCCTGCTGTGAAGGGGACGACAGATCCCGATCCGAGCGGGATGGATGGGACGACAGATCCCGGTCCGAGCGGGATGGATGGGATGACAGATCCCGATCCGAGCGGGATGGATGGGCGACTGTCAGGAGTAGGCGAGGTCAGACTAGCCGGGTCGGTATTGTGCGGGCAGCGTGGTACAGGGGGAGTAAGCGGAGAATGGTCGGGGTCACAAGCCAGGTTCAGCAGGTAGCGGGCAGCGTGGTACCGAGGGTCAGGCAGAAGTATGGTCAGGAACGAGCCGGGGTCAGAGCAGGAGAAGGTCAGCGTAAAACAGAACAGGCAGAGTTTGGCAACAAGGAAACGTACTTACAGGACAGGAAACAAGACCTTGCGGCAACGTGAGATGCACAGGGCAGCTTTAAATAGAGCGCCCTGCTCTCCCATTGGTGCGGCCGCGATCGATACTGCGCATGCGCGGCCGCCGCCGCAATCACCGAGGACTCTGCGCTCGCCGGCTGGGACGAATCAGCAGTCTGCGCATGCGCACGCCGCCGAGGACCCGGGATCCCTGACAGTAACAATGCCACACCCAGCTGCACCCTGCACACCGATTTTCCAGCTAATTGGACCACAATCGACGTACCGGCAGCCTGAATGCAATTGTTACTGGTTCAGGTTAATTACGCAATGAACCCTTCACACTGCCACCACCTCCTTTTTATACAGAGAAAGAGGAAACTCAGCAATACACTAGGATGATTGGTTAATTGACAGTATACCGCTATCTCTACAGACCGGTTATACAGAGGTTAAACACTCATAGTAGTGCTCGTCAGCGGCAGGGATTCGTAAGTTACATTCAAGAACTATAGAAGCCGTTCAACACTTTCAGAAAGTAAGATTTATTACTAAAAGGTCAAAAAGGGTGCAGTAGAAATATTTACAGAAAAAGATGTAACCAATATATATATATAAATATACAGAGCACAACAGCACAGCAAACAGATAACAGAAAGAAGTTTAGGTAAATAAGTACTTGCCAAATAAATGCCTGGGGTTAAGCAGTTTCAAGTCTGATGAGCTAAAAAGGGATTTCTGGTCTCGCACTTAGTTTCGTTGGTACAGCGCGATTCCCCTTTCTCTCGGTCTGCTAGATGTTCAAAGGCAGATGGTCCGCACTTCTCTGACTCCACACAAAGCATAACAGCTTGTTTTTCTACACAAAATCAACTGGTATTTTCCTACAACGGACAAGCCAATTACCTTATCCTTGGCAAGAGGATTGTACAGACAGCCCCTTAGCAAGATACGCTGAACGCATTCCTGAGGGAAGGGGAATAAGGGGATAACAGTAAGACTTCTTAATGCAGTGAGAGCCGTGCCTGGCTCTTGTATGCACAACTGTGACAGGCCCTAATAAATTTAAATTGTTCCAAGACTTAAATCGGCTTATTTGATCCCTTACAATTAAACAACATTATTCTAATGATCCCCAGCTAGCTACTGAATTACACACTCCACCTATAAATTCTTCTTTTCAAGATGAAGATAAAGAGCTCATTCAGGCTTTAGAGGAACTAGAGTCATTCCCAAGATTTTGAGATCCCCCCTATTTCCCTTGATCCTGACTGTCACAGATCCCCCACACGCCACGCCTACAGCGACTAGCTAACCAAGGCGTGCACGTGCGGCCGTGACTTGGGGTAAGAGGGAATAAAGGGGACTTAACTTTGAATATATAAAACCATATATAAGACCAGCCATGATGTACTTCCACAGCCCGCACTACCTTTTGGCCACCACCAGAGGGAGACTCCACTCCAATCCAGCTGGTCGACCACACACACTGGCAGATACAAATCTTATATACAATCTGGTGCACTGACTAGAATTGAGGAGCAGCCTAGCAATTACACACCTTTCTAGGATTCCTCCAGCTATCCTACAAGCCAGAATCCTGGTGTTAATCACTCTCCCACTGTCCACACACCCCCACACACCACACACACTACAAAAGGTAGCCTGCCACCACCCAGCAGTTTATCCGCAGAATGGTCTGCTGAGACACCCCACACACACAGATCTCCGTCTGGCAGATCTCTTACCTTTTACAATCTGCATGCAATTTGCCCACACGCAGTGCAATTGCATTCAGATTGGCAATGAGCTTGACCGAGCATTTAAAGGCACTAAAATACAATACAATACAATCTAATCTCTCCGAAGATAGGAGCCCGTGCTTAAATACACAGAAGTCACTAATTAATTTTAAGATTTATATTCCCAAAAGTGGGCAGTGCATAAAATATGTACAAAATATAAAAAGTTACAGAAATACAAAAAATACAAGAAGACACACAAATGACTATTCACTATAAAATAAAAGTGAATAAAAAACAGAGATAAAACTTTTACCAAGATCTATCCTGGGACTGGAGCAAGTCAGGGAAAAATAGCATACCGTTGGTCGATCGAACCAGCTCCATACGAATTACAATGTCCCAATGCCCGGGTACTCCATTTATGGAGATATGGACGTAGGCGGGACATTAGCTCTTGCTGGATATGGGGACTTTCTCACTGGATATGGGGGACATCTCTTGCTGATATGGGGGATCTCTCTTGCTGGTTATGGGAGATGTCTCTTGCTGGGTATGGGGGATGTTTCTTGGTGGAAAGCTTTGCTGGATATTGGAGATGTCTCTTGCTGGATATCTTTGCTGGATATGGAGATGTCTCTTGCTGGGTATGGGGGATGTTTCTTGGTGGAAAGCTTTGCTGGATATTGTGGATGTCTCTTGCTGGACATCTTTGCTGGATATGGAGATGTCTCTTGCTGGATATGGGGACGTCCCTTTTCTGGATATGGGGATGTCTCTTGCTGGATATGGGAACTAGGGGAGGGGGGAGAGTTCCTGTACCTTTTCTCTGAGAAAAAAGCCCTGCATAGTATGTACTTCTTTTAAAGAAAAAAAACAAGTTGTGATTTTTTTAAAACTGTTTTGCTCCTTCTATCCTGTCTGGGAGGGAGGGAAAAACTGGAGAAATGCTTCCTCCTGGCTGCAGCAGACTGATGATGACATGTGGTGTTCATTTCTTCTACATGATATTTGTCACTCCTTCAGCAATACATTGATTTTTTTAATGCTGTCTGGAAGGGTAAAAGTGGAGAGGCTGTGCTTGAGAACAGTAGTAAGAGGAAAGTGGTTGGGTTATAAGTTATTATAACATGGGTAGTTGGGAGAAACATCCTAAAATTGGCACTCTCAGTTCAGGGTCAAGCTGTTTCTAGGAAAAGATGTAGCTATCGAAATTCTGTCAAAGTACATTGGAAAATTCTGTGACTTATCAAAATGAATAAATAAGCTATTTACGAAGTGACAAATCTTCTTTATATAATGTTTTAAGCAGTGGTGCACACAGTTGCTGTGAAGTTACTTTTGTATGCATGTGCTATACTGCTATACCATGTGAACTAGGTAAGGTCGGCTATGAAAAAAATGTTTTCATGAATCTATAAAACCACTATGGTTATGTTGTGGTATATCAAAAGCTCCCAAAATCCTCTCTTTAAAATACTATGACATACAGTGCTGCCTTCTTAAAGTGTTACTAAACCCAGGACCCGGCATTCACTATATCTGCTCTCCCACAGTACACAGAACATGGAAATGCAGTTATTTTTGTAAATATAAACTGCTAAATACCTTTTCTCATCAGCAGTTAGAACAGTCTTGTGACTTCTATCAGTGTCCAGCAGAGCACTGGTAAAGCTTGTAGGAGGAGTTTCTTTCTGCTCTAGGAAGCAAAACCCCTGACCTCTGTCTGGACAGTGCTGATTCGCCCTGTGCTGATCACATGCACTCTCCCAAGAAAAAAAAAACCTCTATAGCGCAATCTAAACTGTGCATATGCAGAGTGTCTCCACATGATATGTCTTATCAGGAGGAAAAGAAGGGGAGGAAAGAGAAATCAGGATCAAACAGCATCTTTACAGAATGCAGAGGATTAACCCCCCAGGTTCTACAGTGAGTATAACAAGCATGCTTTACTGCATATACAGACTGATTTTACTGTTGTGGGTTTAGTAACACTTTAAAAGGAAAAGTATTGATAAATGCTGTCACATTTATTACAGATAGGAAGGCATAACTATTATGACTCCTCCATATATTTTTTAAACAACACATACTGTACGTACCCTATGTAAATATTAGATAGACCCTCTTTAAATTGTAAATCCCTCGCCAGTCTTATACTCACCTGTCTCCAATCCATCACGTTCTCAGCTGCACAGCCTTTTTTGTGCCACACAGCCACTTGTCAAAATCTTCTCTGCCAGACTACCCACACGTATTGGACTCTGTATTCAATCCTGTGGAGAGTTTGAGTTTGAACCTGCAGGAGAGCATTTGGAAGACAAACACAGAGTTGTCAACCCATAACTGGAAGTGCATAAGCTAGCATCTCCATGTTTATTTTTAAAAGCTGAACATTAAAGATGATTGAACAGGTATGTACTGGTGTTTGAATTATGGGTTAAGGCTAGGTTCACATATGTGTGGCCATGTGGGCCATGATTTGCACGGGCACGAGAGCCCATTCATTTGAATGGACTCCCGTAACCCAGGACACACAGGGAAGAAATCCTTGCACTACTTGGGAAATCGCAGCCTGCACAGCAACTGAGTACGGTTTCAATTTCCAGTACGGACGGCGTACCATTAGAATTATTGGCACCCGCCTGTAGGTTCCTCATTCCTCTGTGTGGATGGTGCGGCTGCAGGTATTTATGCGGGTCCCACAGCAGCACCACTCGCATAGATGTGAACCTATCCTTAAAGTTTTTTTTGTCAATCAAAGCTTAAAAAAAGAAGTATGGGAATTTATTTTAAAAAAAAAAAAATCATACTTTCCTAGGTGGATGCAGCATCGGTCCAATGCTGCATCTGTCCCCCACTGACTCTAAGGGTGAGAACTCAGTGATCACATGACCGCTGAGTTCTCACAGTGGCTCTGTGCAGAGAGTAGTGACTGTCAATCTCCTCTGTCTGCTCTTCCCCCCCCCACACGCTCGCTTGAGTGCTGGGCTATGGAGGGGGAGGGAGTGGCCGGCTCAGGCTCTCTGCGGCTCGCTGAGAGGCTGAGTCAGGTGTCACTCCAGACTCTGGGATGGATCCCTACTTTAAAGTCTGGATCTTTCCCCAGCATGGACCGACTGAGTGACAAAGTGGGCTTTGGCCTGCTGTCAGCTGAAAACGGGTCACAGAAGTGCAGAACGAACTGCACTCCTGTGATCCACAGGCCAAGTACAGCCAAAAGAGATTTGGCTGTACTTCTGCTTTAATCAGCCTTATGCATAAAAGTTCAGGCTCTTCTGATGAGGACTTTCAATACTCCAGTCTACTGTACATGCTGACATGTGAATTAAAAAATTACTGTACATGCTTTTGATTCTTTATTCATCTGAGCTCTTCTGTACTCTCTCTTACAACAACTTATGGCTGCCATAGTGAATGCAAAAGTAACCCTACATGGGGTTAAAAAATTTCTATTTTCCATCTTTGTAAAGGTGTTCTTTGTTCAACATACTTTTGTTTACATTAGAGTGAAGCCTTCAATTTGCTACAAGGTGTGTGATTGACTTCAAACTTCAGATTGTTTTGTGAAGACAGGCTTCCCAGCAAATTGAAAAGTTGGCAAGCATTATATCAAAACTCGAGATTTCAGTTATCTTTTATGTCATGCCCTCTAGCTCATGGCTGGTGGAGATAATTGCTCAACCATTTCAAATTATCATTCTTATGCACAAAAATTGTGAACTTAGCAGTTATTGTCAAGGAAAACAATAACATAGACTTTTGTGTGTAATTCTAGTGCATTTTGTAAGGTACTCTGTTGTTTTTTGTTATTGTATCCTAACTTTCATTTTACATTTATATTTATTATTACAGACACTTTCTAAAATGTCTCCAACATCTCTAAAAATTACATTCAGACAACTTAAAAATGGCTCTTCCTTAACACTACAAGAGGTACTAACAATGGAGTACAGACTAAGTCAAGCTTGTATGGTAAGACATGTTTTTCATTTAAACCTAAACATTACAGCCATATAGTATTCATTATAGCAAATGTGCCCAATTCAGTGCTCTTTAAGGCCTCCCATACCCACTGATACCCTCCTTCCCTGTGCTCCCCCACAGTTGCATGCCTCCGTTTAAGCCCTTGGAAATACCTGGCATTCCTGGGTATGAGGGAACATAAGACCCGCTGCGCTTCTTTAATGCTATGCAGTATGAAGTCCTAAGTAGTCAATCATGATGACTAAACAATTTCACATTGGGTAGGAGACTTTGTCATTAGCCATATTAACCCTGTGTAGGCCCTGACATTGTCCGACTTGTAAGCCCAAGCTTACACAATGTTTTAGATCCTCGGTTCCTCCAGAGATATGGAGCTGTAGGGGAGCATGATGGTAGTGAGTATCGTGTATAGAAAAAGAGCTTTCAAGAGAACCTGTCATTTTTTAATGGTACCGGTCTGAGTCCCTTTAGGCCCACTTCCTTTTGCATTTTTATTTTTCATTCTTCTATGAATCTTATTCTTCTTTATAGGCTCGAGGTTATGGAGAGACAATTAATAAACAAATCGCACCTTATCCACTCACTTGGTTTTCACACTTTTCTTTCGTTTACCCTCTTCTCTTTTCCACTCCTTTACATTCCCCAGTCAAGGGGGGTCCCCTTTTTACTCTCATACACTTCTTCCCCTAAACAGTTTACAACAGGGGACCATACTTATCAAGTGTCGACCAAAGTCACTCACCCTCCTCGTGTCACTCTTCCTCTCGTGACCCGGCTAGGAGCTCTCTTCCACTGTTGTTCGGCTGGGCAATGTGTGTATTTAGGGGGCTCCCAAGTGTATCTTCCACCTTTGTCTCTCCAATCCCCAGTGCCTTTCCTTCACAGACAGGGCTCTGAACAGTGGGCCAATCAGCAGGACCCCCGAACAGTAGACCACCAAATATGCCTCCATGTAGTTGGCCAGCGGTCAGGTCTTCGGCTAATAAGCCGGCAGGCAGCTCTCCGGGTAAGGACCGACCACCAGGGCTCCGGGTTCTAGGTTTAACATAGGGGACTGCAGATCGAGGGCTAGCTAGCTGGGCACCAGATAGTCTGCCGGCAGACAAAAGTCCGGTTATTTGACCCGCAACAGGACTTCATTTAGTGAGCCCGGGAGAAGTAGACCTAAGTCTGGAATGTAGCCCTAGACTATCACTAGGCCTTGACATTAGTAGCCAACAAATATCAGCTAATACAGTGATGGAGACAGAGTTACAAATACCAAATAAAAAGGAAATGGCAGAAATGTTTAAAGGTCTGGAAAAAACAATAAAACAAGAAATTGTAAATATTCGAAATGACCTGGGACATCTCTTGGTGAGAGTGGAAGAAACGGAGGAAAAAGTTTAAAAACAATCCCAAATTATCTCTGAATTAGAAAAAGAAATAATCAATATAGGGAAAGCCCAAGAAAAACTGCGCTATAAGACTGAGATACAAGAAAATAGGAATAGGAGGAGAAACATTAGGATACGAGGAGTCCCAGAGAATTCAAAAGGAGAAAATTTTGCAAGAGGTGGTCTGTAAAATATTAAACTCCATAATGGACAATACTGATATGGAAAGAGGATTAAAATGGAAGGAATCTTTAGACAAGGAAAATTCCAAGGAAATTCGGGAAAGGAAAGGCCAAGAGATATACTTGTTAAATTTTGTGACTTCCTAGATAAAGATAAAATTTGGAAAAGGATTAAGGGAAAATCAGTAATCATGTACGAAGGAAAAGAAATACAGATATATATGCGGATTTGTCATCAGAGACTCTGTGGAGAAGGTAGAATCCTGAGACCTCTATTGGAAAGATTGAAAGAACAGAACGTCCAATATAGATGGGGGACCCCTGAGTGCCTAATAGGGTGGAGAAATGGAAAACTACAGCATATCTCAGGTTCCCAGAAGATTTGCAGTATTTTTGTGATAGACTTAAACTACAAAGACTGGAGATCCTGGTTGGGAAGAAGAACATGGGAAATTAGAATAAAAGGAAAGGAGTGCTGGCAGGCCTGTTGGAGGGGGAGGGGGGGGGGGGGGGGGGGGGGGGGGGAGGGGGGGGGGGGTCGAGAGATAAAGATAACGTGTTTTTTTTTTTTTTTTTTTTTTTTTTTTTTTTTTTTTTTTCCTCTCTCTCTCTCCTCCTCTCCTGTCTTTTTTGCTTCTCCCCAACCGTCTCCTAACCACTATTATTGAGATATTTAGGGAGGAGTTAGGGGTTGAGGGGGGGGGTTGGAGAAGGGGGGAAAGTTGTCCATGGGTGGAGTTCTTTATTTTTTTTTGCCCTGAGATTAAATCAAAGGTGGATTGTATCTCCACAAATGATTAGTAGGCAAATAGTAGGCCTAAAAAGAGGGGGGGGGGGCGAGGGGGAGGGAGGGGAGGGAAGTTGGGAGGGATGGAAGCTGGGTGTGGTATAGGGAGGAAGGGAGGGGGGGGTGAGGGGAGGAGTTACGGGGTCAATACTCTGCAAGACTTGAAGAGATAAAGAGGAACAAGGCAATCAGAGAAGAGAGATGGAGCCAATTTGGGAACTGATGGAAGAAATACAGTTTATAACATATAATTTATGAAGGGCTGAGTTGCCCAGGGAAGAGATTTAGGTTGTTTAATGAGTTACATCATTAGGGGACGTCAGTGTATTTTTACAGGAGACACACTTTGAGATAGAGGCAAATGTAAAATTGAGATCCAAATACTATCCAACATGGGTACTATGCAGATTTCCAATTAAAAGAGGCAGCAAAGGGGGTTTGCAATAGGTTTTGGCAAAGAATATGAGATTTGAAGCTGGAGGATAGAAGAACCGACCCGGAGGGGAGGTTTTTTATTCTTAAAAGGTAAACTTCAGGGGTTGAGTGCACTTTAG